TGTTGGAGATATTAGTCAAATCCCAAAGGTGGTTTGGGATCCATTGAAATTGGATTCTAATACTCATACTGTTGAGATTGCACGCCGAAAGAAATTAAATATTTAAAAGAAAAGAAAACCCCGACTATCAGATACCCGTTACTCAGGTAAAGGGAGTGCGAGGGAGATGGAGATAGAAACTTTAATCACGCATAACTTCTTAACGAATGGTCCGATTTGAAAAATTTCGATAGGTATTGATAAACACAACAAAACTGCATTTTTATTTTTCCGAAATATTTAAATTTTTAAAATCCTATATAATCGATTGTGGGCGTTAAAGGGGGCGTGGCACCTTTTTGAAACAAACTTGCGCTGCGTAGGAACTCCTAAAATCTACATGCAAAATGCCAATCTTCTAGCTTTTATAGTTTCCGAGATCTCAGCGTTCATACGGACAGACAGACGGACAGACGGACATGGCTATATCGACTCGGCTAGTGACCCTGATCAAGAATATATATACTTTATAGGGCCGGAAACGCTTCCTTCTAGCTGTTACATACTTTTGCACGAATACAACATACCCTTTTACTCTACGAGTAACGGGTATAAATACAATCCACTAATCTTATGTTTGCATTGTTAAGCCTAGTATCCAGATCGACAAACGATTACGCTAGCGTAAAAACTTTAATCTTTCCAGTGTGACCAAAAGTTTGAGAGTTCATCAGATTTAAGCGTGCTATGGTCGTACTGTCAATCAGCTGGGTTTGTTGACAAGCAGTTAGAATTCAAATATCGTATTTGCGGGAAAGAGCCTTTAAAAGATATTATCAAATACTTTGGCAAGACAAGTCTGCCGCTGTACAAAGAAATTAAAAAACAATACAATTTAAATTTAACAGTTGTTTTTAATTTTTAATTTAATTTTTTTTAATTTACTGATAATTATTTGCTAATTTAAAGTTCATAGCTGCACTTTTATTGTGTTTTTTCGTACATTCTGGACTTAAAAAACATTTTGCTCTGACAAGAGGCACCCCAGATAGTATTAATGTTATTTTGTCCTCACATGTAAACACCTGCAATCGACTTTTGTGAGTTTTTTGAGTTTTTCCCTCCATTTCTTATAATGTTCAGTGAGAAGCGCACGCCAAAAGATTAAATTTTTTAATCTTTCCGCAGACTGGCAACGCTATGGAATTTTCTGGTATTTTTTTCGTCGATCAGGGGACCGACGTCAAAAAAAAGGCCCGACGAAAAGTGAACGCCAGCTGTTTGCCTCTCGCTCTCTCTCATGACTGGCGTACGGTTTTCGTCGATCAGGATACTAGGCTTAAACACTAAAATGCAAGACACTTTCTGTTTACTTTCTAATTTTTGTCAACCGATCGCGGTCGCGATAAAAATAGCACTGCCGCTTCATTTCTAAATCTAATCCAATGAACCTCGGCCAGGAGCTATTCTTTTTGAACTTTAGAACTTCAATTTATGTTTAGATTAAAAGCTTAGGATGAAACTGTTGCATCTCATTGTGAAATTCAATTATGCTGACCGATGCAATTTGGTGGGAACTTGAAACGCAAAAGGGCGCAATTGATTGGACTTCAAACGGAAGCTGATGTTTACTTTAATTTTAATTTGCGCTTAAGATGAAACTGTCGCATTTCATTGTGAAATTCAATTAGCAATTGATTGGTATTCGAACGGAAGCTGGTTTTTACTTTAATTTTGATTGGTTTAACTTAGTTAGGGAACCAAGATCAGACTTCAAAGCCAAAGGCAAAGACAAAGGCAAATGCAGATTGGTTGTACCATTAAATGTTATTAAAAATGAACCGTTTAAATGGGAGTTGTTAACAATATTGTTACCATTTATAAGAATGACACAATCTTGTATGATGTCAATTTTTTTTTTCTCTTATTTTTCTCTTATTTAATAATCGGGTAAAACAAGTTTTCTCCTTAATTAAAGTGCAGTAATTATTAAAAAGTTCGTTCTTAAAGTTTGACATTTCATAAAACATATTTGCGTTTTTTGCGATTTAAGCAATCAATGCTTAATACTAGTTTCCCATCGTTTTGGGAAATCGCACTAGCGTGATAAATTTCGCATCTATTTTTAATTATTGGGTATTTTATATAAATTATTAAAAGTTCTTTATGCAGTGCGATTTTAAAAACAGAGATGTCCATTAAGTCAGCGATAATTACTGGTTTTTGTTCATGTTTTATTTCCATGATGTCATCATTGTTCAAAATTTTGGTATTAAAAACGTAAATTTTTGCTAGTGTGATTGTGTCACTTAAATTTTGCAGATCAAATGTTAATAATCGTAAACGATGTTTTCGCAGTGGTAAATCTTGATCAATAAAAACATTTTTAAAATCATCATAAAGAGATTAAATTTCTTTTAACAATTTGGTATTGATAAAAGATTGCTTATTATTATTTTCAATTAATTCATAAATTTTAATTTGATATTTTCATACAGTGCCTAACTCATTTATACCCTCTTTTTGATCTAGTTGATATTAATAGTGATAAAATTACTTCGATTACTTCTATGACATATTTAATTTCCCATTGTGACCTTTTATTAGTATCCCTTTTTACATTATCTGATTCAATTTTATTATTTCTTTATAAAAACTTAAGTTAGTCACGTGGAATAAATCTGCGAATGAATCTTACGTCAATACGTCTTTATTGTCCTTGAATAAAAGATACTCGAGACTTGAATAGTCAATTATTTCTGATTTTGTTAATAATAATATAATAAGGTGTAATATGAGCACCTGATAAAACATTTTTTGGAAAAGGTAAAAAAAAAGGTAAATGTTAAATTAGGAGGAATATATTCCCTTAAGATTGATATCAAATTTTCGGGAGTGTCAAATTCTATTATATGTCTGGTATTTTCGAATATATTAACCGACTCATGTATTGTATACCTCATCTTTGCTAATAGCAATTATTGCTTAAACTGGTTTAAGGGCTTACGGGTTTCTTGTATAACATTCTTAAAATTACTCTCTGCTGAATGCTGAGTGTTTTGATGTGAGACCGATTCGTTACTGTCAGTTAAGTTGTTGATCTGAATCTTTGATAAGGCATCTGCAACTACATTAGTTGTACCTGGCTTACAAATGACTTTTGGAGTGAAACTTTCTATGAAGGAGTACCAGCGTTCCATTTCGATATTAGGATTTTTATCAGAACTTGCGAAAGATAATGGTTGATGATCGGTTTGAATTTCAATTCCAATCACTCCGTATAAGTTATTTCTTAGATTTTGAAGGGCCCATACTATGGCTAAAAGTTCCTTCTTATTAGTTGCATAAACTTGTTCTGTTTTAATCAAGGTTTTTTTAAAAAAAGCAATTGGTTTACCTTCTTGAGATAACACTGCACCAATTGCGACGTCCGTAGCGTCGGTAGTCAGGGTAAATTTTTTATTATAGTCTGGTTAAACTAGTTCTACTAGAGCAATGAGATTTTGTTTTAGCTCGTTAAAAGCTTTAATAGCTGGGTCATCACGCTTAATTAACATTTTTGTTGACATTCTTTTTGAAATTTTGCCATTATGTCCTCCAAGATATTTTGTTAGAGGTTTGGCTATGAAGGCGTAATTTAAAACAAATTTTCTATAATAGCCCGCAAGGCCTAGGATACTTCTTAGTTCCCGAATATTTTTTGGAAGCGGATATTTATTAATGGTATACGTTTTTTCTGGGTCTGTCTTGATAACGTTATAAGATACGATGTATCCTAGAAAACCGGTTTCGCGTTAAAAAAATTTTGATTTTTCTAAAGAGATTGTCATGTTTGCCCTTAATAATATAATTTTGTTTAAGTCTTCATAATGTTGTTCAATCGAATTTGAGAATATTATAATGTCGTCCATGTAGATATGGCATGTTTTCCCTATTTGTTCTCTTAGGATGTCGTCCATTGCTTTCTGAAAAATTCTTGGTGCATTTGTTAGTCCGAATGTCATTCTTAAAAATTCGTCTTTTCCATGATTTATTGAAAAAGATGTTTTTTCGACATCAGATTCTTTCATTAATATCTGATGAAAACCTGATTCTAAATCTATTGTTGAAAAATATTTTGCTTTTCCCAAATTATATAAAATTACTGATGGGAATTTGCATATTTATCTTTGCATGCTCTTTTTCAATATAGTGATCTATTTTTTCCTTTAGTTCGTCTAATTGATTAATACCTAAATTACTTATCTGTTGTTTGTCGGATAACTCAACGACGGCTGGCTTGAAATTGTTGCATTTCAAACAATTTTTTTTTTGATTTTTGACGGTATTTACTTCGTTGGCACTCTCAGGATTTTTAATTCCCAAGATATTTTTATTTTTATTGACGGATATTTCTACGTCGGCGTTCTCAGGATTTTTAATTCCCAAGATATTTGTATTTTTATTGATTATACCCGTTACTCGTAGAATAAAAGGGTATATTGTATTCGTGCAAAAGTATGTAACAGGTAGAAGGAAGCGTTTCCGACCCTATAAAGTATATATATTCTTGTTCAGGATCACTAGCCGAGTCAATCTAGCCATATCCGTCTGTCCGTCTGTCTGTCTGTCCGTATGAACGCTGAGATCTCGGAAACTATAAAAGCTAGAAGATTGGCATTTTGCATGTAGATTTTAGGAGTTCGTACGCAGCGCAAGTTTGTTTCAAAATGGTGCCACGCCCCCTCTGACGCCCACAAGCCACAAGCTGTGGCCACAGTTTTGATGCTATTATGAAAATTTTAATTGATATGTATTTGTTTCGTCAATACCTATCGATTGGCCTAATAAAAGTTTGCCACGTCCACTCTAACGCCCAAAAACCCATTAAACGCTTAAGCCTGGCTAGCGCCTACATTTCCGCCTTTCACGGCCCGTGGTACTAGAGGTGGAGAATAATCGATGTTTGTGGACATCGATGTTTTCGATGTTTTTGGTGAAAAACATCGATGTTTAATCGATGTTTAACAAAATTTTTTTTTTTGTTATTATATTTTAATTTTATTAATATTTTTGTTTTTGTTAAGGAACAGAAGCTTATCGACGACTGATGGCGATAAGCGAGTGCGACGGTCCGAAATCATTTGGCCTGCCTTGCTAAAGAGGCGTTCAGACTCGCATGAGGATGCTGGAATACAAAGGAACTTTTTCGAGATCTTTTTAAATGGTTCATCAGTTGACATCTGAAATAAGATATTTTGTTTAATTGAATATTTGAAGAACAAAAGACTTAGCATATAAAGTTTTACCTCCCAATACGCCAACGGATCGCACTTTTCCGGTTGGTTCCCTTTCTCTAGATGTTGGCGTAAGAGTATAATGGAATCCGCCCGAAGTGATTGAACTGTTGTCTCCATTTTAGTTTTGAGGAATGAGAACCGTGTAGGTTCCTCTGTTGGTGGTGCTGGCTGCGGTCGTGGAGTTGTTGTCATAACGGAGTTCAGCTCTTCCTGCAAAGCCTTGGCCGCTTCCTCCGAGTTCGATTGGGCAAGGAACCCTTGCTTCTTGAATCGCGGATCGAGAATTGTTGCGATACGAGGAATCGTTCTAGTTTCATATGCAAACAATCTTTCCCTTAGACGAATCTTCATGTAATCTGCGGCAGCGATTCCTTCAATTGTTTTGAAATCGAATCCATTAACTTTGTGGAAAAGTTCACAAATTACAGGAATGATCAACGAAATTGAGACATTGGTGTTCGTCGAAACCGACAAGGTTGCTTCCGCGTATGGAGCAAGCAATATCGAAATCTCTTTTAAAACGTCAATTTCTTCGGCAGACAACGGTGAAGGGGCATTGTGAGATACAGCCAATACTACACTAATATATTCGTTTGTCAGAATTACTCGCTTGATCATTTCGTATGCGCTATTCCAGCCCGTCGGCATTTCTTGAACCAGGCCATATGGAGTTTCTGTTTTTTGTGCTGCTTTGAATTTTGCATACGCAGTCGAGCTTCTTTTAAAAAACGATACAACAGTCTTGCATTTGCTTAGAATTTCCTCTAATATTGGCTGTTTTAATATGTCCTCGACCAGCAGGTTAATAGTGTGGGCCACACACGGCAAGTGTTTGTATTTTAATGAAACGCACGCCTTTTTCATGGAAGCGTCGTCATCAGACACAAGACATACAACTTTTTGCGCTATCGCCCAGTCATCTAGCACCGATTTTATCGTTTCTGCTATATTTGCAGCGGTGTGATTTGTTGGCGTTAGAAGATGTTGTGTTGATAAGAGATGGAAAACATCGATGTTTGGCAAGCCAAACATCGATGTTACCGATGTTTTGAAAACATCGATTACATCGATATTAACATCGATTTTTCTCCACCTCTACGTGGTACCAATGTCTAGGAGTAGATGGCGCAATACAATAGCGCCATCTAACGGATGACTTTGCAACAGCTGGCCAAGGTGCTCAACAGAGTCAACGTTAATTTTGGTTGCAAATCAACGGCCTCCACGTGGTGTTCCCTGTTCGAGCGGCGAAAAACATACAAAAAAGCATATTTATATTAAGTGGTTTAGCTAGGTAACGGGTATCTAATAGTCGAGGCACTCGACTATAGCGTTCTCTCTTGTTTTTAATTTCCAAAATACTTTTATTTTTATTGACGGATATTTCTACGTCGGCGTTCTCAGGATTTTCGAATCCCAAGCTTTTCTCACTATAGGGATATATATTTTCCACAAATAATGAATCTGTGTTTTCGCTACTTTTATCATCGAAATATTTTTTTATAATAAATTCTTTTAACGGAAGAATATTATTTACTTCAATTAAACTTATTTCATTTTTTTCCTCATTATCATAATATTTTAACTTTTCTGTTTTCCCTTTATATTCCAAGACTCCCTTTTCTATATTTATTATAGCTCCAGTTTTTATACCCTTGCAGAGGGTATTATAATTTTGTTCAAAAGTGTGCAACGCAGTGAAGGAGACATCTCCGACCCTATAAAGTATATATATTCTTGATCAGGATCACCTCCTGAGTTGATATATATCTGTCCGTCTGTCTGTCCTACGCGAACTAGTCTCTCAGTCTTAAAGATATCTAATTGAAACTTTGCACACACCCTTCTTTCCTTTGCACGCAGTATATAAGTCGGAACGGCCGGGATCGGCCGACTATATCCTATAGCTGCCATATAACTGATTGATAAGATATGCCATAACTCTTATAGCTGGCATATACATAACTGAACGATTGGAAATGCCATAACTTTGGTGTTTTTAAAGTTAGGAAGTTTGGATTTTTTATGAGTATTAAGAATGCATCATATGAATAATTTTGGAGAATATAATTTGCAGAATATTCTGCAAGGGTATTTCAACTTCGGCTCCGCCCGAAGTTAGCTTTCCTTTCTGGTTTATTATATTACTGTGGGATTTGAATCAGGCGGGCTTAATGCACGGCACACTCGAAGCGGGTTAAGTTATATGGCAACTCTTAATCAGTTCACCATCTGAACTTCTCGATAAAAGTTCTCGATTCTTCTAAGGCCGTCGATACCTGAACGAATGAGCGAGGAGTCGTCGAATAGCGTTCGTAAAGAGAAAAGACAAGTTTAAGTAAAAAACCAGAAAGAACTTTGTAAACTAATCTAAGCACCTCTAATGTTTAAACTTAATTCCAATAAAACATTGTGAATATATTAATTCCTACAATTTGGGGGCTCAACCGGGATTGACCCAAACATTAGAGTGCAGAAGTGCGTTTTTACAAACAATGATTGTCTAATTTCAAGTCTGGTGAAATTGCAATTTGAGACAACTGCGCAGTTAATTTGGCAGATGTGTGTGTAAAAAAGGCGCACGAAAAAAGCTTGGAGCAAATAGCGAATGCAGTCCAGGAGGTAATGCATCATAGTTCCCCAGAGCGTCGGTCTGAGATCCGGCCAGTCACGGTGAACTGGTAACTTGCAGAGGCTGATCTGTAAAAGGCGTTGGGAGCAGCGATAGACAGAGACGAGCGGAACAAGTCAGGAGCGTGAAGCGGGCATTGGAGCAAAGACGGGTTGACGGAATCTGGAGGGCAGGATTTTTAAGCAGAGCAGCAGAGTCTGAAGTAAGCAGATCTTGGTGGAAGGCAACGACGTCAGCGGACAAGCAAGGGCAGGATTTTTTCAAGTTTAATAGTCCAGAATAAAATCCAATTGGCAGGCAAGCAGTTTCGAGAAGCAGTGCATCAAAAGGGGTGCTAATCAGAAAGCTGGCCCAATGAAATTGAATGTCGCTCACAAGTAGACTGTTTGTATAAAACCAAAATTTGTCATTTCTGAAGCTATTTATTATTTATAGTTATTGTTAACTAATATCTTTGTAAGCAAATTTCATCTCAAAATGCAACTCGAGGAGATAATGTTAATGCGATGCGTGGATTTGCGCGCAAAGCTACTTGAACTAAATTTATCCACAGCCGGTAGAAAGCGCGATTTACAGGACAGACTCCTGGCTCACTTCGGTATTCAGGACGACGATGATAACAACGATTCGGATGAAGTTGAATCTGTAGCTACCGCTCTCGATTGTCCAGTGCAGGCAGTGCCTATAAGTCGTTCTTTGTTTACACTTAAAGATGCAGAAGGCAGTGTTTCAAATTTTGCAGGTACAGGTAGTCCAGATATAGATCAGTGGATTCAGGAGTTGGAGGAATGTGCTTTGACTGTGCAGTGGAGCCAGCTTCAACTTTTCATTTATTCTAAGCAGTTGCTCAGTGGGGCTGCAAAATCGTTCATTCGCAGCTAGGCTAACATTCGCAACTGGGATTCTCTAAAGGCAGCATTACGTGGCGAATTTGGTGTTAAAATTTCATTTGCTGAGATCCATCGCAAGCTAGGTCAACGTGCGCAGAGGAAAGGAGAGACGCTTCAGGAATATTTGTATGCTTTGATGGAAATAGCCAAGCCAATTAAACTAGACGAAGAGAGTTTGATAGAGTATTTTGTAAAAGGAGTTCCAGATGCTAAGGCAAACAAAATAATGTTGTATCAGGCGAAAACCATTAAGGATTTGAAGGAGCAGATCGAAGTATACAAAAAGGTCCGTGGTTCATACAAGATTCCTTACAAGAATGAAGCGCGTGTAGTTGAGGCAGATGGATTCAAAAGCTTCGACTCGAAACCAGAGTTTGTACGTAAATGCTTTAAGTGTGGGGATCCGTCCCACTTAAAAAAAGATTGCAAGAAGAAGGATACCAATAATTGTTATCGGTGCGGACAGCCAGGTCATCGTGCTGCGCAGTGCAAAATCGAGGTTGAGGTGAAACAGAAGAGAAATGCTTATGCCGTTCACGTGGAGAACGCAGCTACTAAGCCAAAAAACGAGTTTACGGCTTCTGGCCTCGAACTAAAAAGTATCAAGTCTTCCAACGCTCAATTCAAAGGACTCGTCGACACAGGCGCTGATCTATGCCTTATGCGCAGGAACATTTTCCTCAAACTAGGCAACGAACCTCTCGCCGGAAAAGAAAAGTGTTTGACGGGAATAGGCGAGAGTCAAGTTCTAACTTTTGGGAGCATTGTCATACCTGTTGACGTGATTCCAGATGAGGACATGGGCTTTGACGCAATTTTGGGCAGAACTATCCTGGATATTGCTGACATGAAAGTTACAAAAGAAGGCACTGAGTTTATGCGTCGGAATAAATCGCAAAGTAACGAAGATAAACATATCAACTTCGGGTCCGAGTTTCTGCAAGATTTTAAGGGCATGTGTGGAGAAAAGGCAGCAGTTTCCGATCACGTTGACTTATCTCATTTGAATCAATCACAGCAGTCAAATCACTGCGGTCAAAAGTTTGATTGAAGAGTATTCACCGGAGCAGAAATGAAAATCATTTTGAAGGATGAGTTACCTGTCTACCAGCATCCACGTCGTTTACCTGTCTGTGACCAGAAAACAGTTGACGATCAAGTTAAGGATTGGCTTGCAGAGAAAATTATCCAACGGTAGTTTTGGTGTCCAAGAAAAACGGAAAGAAGAGACTGTGCTGTGACTACCGAAAGCTTAATGAGAAAATTATTCGAGACAATTTTCCGATGGCTCATATGGAGACCATTCTAGACAAGCTGCAAGGGTCCAAGATATTCACTACTTTGGATCTAACAAACGGCTTCTTCCACGTTCCGATTGAACCAGGCTCTCGAAAGTATACATCATTTGTGACCCAATCTGGACAATTTGAATTCCTTTATGTACCATTTGGCATATAAAATTCACCTGCCGTTTTCACAAGATTCATCATGGCAGTTCTAAGGGAGCTCATCGCCACTAATGTTGTCGTTGTGTACATGGACGATGTAATCATACACAGTCAAGACTCGGAAGAAGGACTTGCTAAGTTGAAAGATGTCTTGCAGCTTGCTTCTCGGAACGGTTTACGTATCAACTGGAGTAAGTGCCAAATATTGCACAGTAAAGTACAGTTCCTAAGATACATTATTCAAATTGGAACCATCACCCCAGGTCCGGAAAAGATTCAAGCTGTGAAAGAGTTTCCCAAACCACATGACAAAAAAGCGATTCAGCGATTCTTAGGTCTGACTTCTTACTTCCGAAAGTTTATAAACGGGTACGCATCCATTGCCAGGCCCTTGTCGGATTTACTGAGAGGCGATTCCAAGTATGAATTTGGAGAGAAACAAGAATGTGCTTTTGAAAAGCTGAAGACTGCTCTTACTAGCGAACCAGTCCTGTATAATCCCAATTTACAAACGGAAATCCACA